GGAGTTTCCGTGGTCACAACAGGAACAATATCAAATCTATTGACAACACAAATCTCTCCTTTGACAATTGTTTTATCAATTATGTGGTTATTATTCCATTTCTCTTTTCTTCGTGTACATTCTCTTTTCAATTCTTTAAATCCTTGGTTGTTCACATGCTCCATTGCATTTATGGAGCCATAGATTCTCTTTAAAACTACCATAGATACTTAATTCAACTTCAAAGCTAAGCTACTTCCTTTGTTGTTTGCATGCTTCATACAATACAAGGGACCACAACAGGCAAAAAAAGTAAGTGAGAGAGTGAGTAATTCGTTGATGATCTTGAATCAAGTGCTGTAATTTGTTGGCCAAAGTAGAAATTGACTTCTAACCTTATATTACTATCATATATCGTTTGAGTGAATAAATTTCTTATCTTAATGCCAGTTTCCTGATATGGAAGTCTCCATCGAATAATTCTTGATAAAAAATGTATCATTTCCAGAAATTCCAAAATAAGAAACCAAATTTCAACAACATTCTCTCTTATAATTCGAGACAAGATCGCACTTTCAGCCAAGGGATAAACGATTTGATTGAGACACTGAGAATCGATAGTAGCTCTAAATTTAAAAATCCTGATTTAGCGGGGTGTATGTTTGAAACTTACATTAATTCGTGCATATGATAATTAAATTGTCATATACATGAAAAACAAAACACCGACTGTGAGACTGGCTCAGGACATAACCAAGTGACAGATGATATCGACCAGTTTCACCTGTGATAATAAATATCTTTTCAATTAAGATTCAATAAAACACCTAAAGACAGTGAAATAATTCATGATACTGATTGATACGTAAAGTTATGTTATTCAGTACACTATGCACAATCCATATACCGTTTGTAAATGCACTCAAAACGGAAAAAAACACCAAAAGTCACTTCCTTACCATCGGACTGATCCGCCATGTTTCGCTGACTTGCTTGGTAACCACGCAGACTCGTCCCGGACTTCAGGGAAGTGCTTGGGTGCCAACAAAGCCGTACTTAAATTTTCATTTCACGTGAGCCGTTTGAGTCGCATTTTATGAGAGAATGTGTGCAGATGAAAAACATGTGTCTCAAAAATTCTGCCTGTTGTGAAAAAGGCAAATTTAAAATCACCTGTCAAGTTCTGACAGTCTGAGAAGACGTAAAAAACGTCTCCAAGAACAAAAACGAGTAAAGGCAATGCTAGGGGGATTTCCACAATTTAGTTCGCGAGTTCCAGCTCGGAGAAAGAGCATTTAATTCAGGTATGAGCTAAGCAAGAATGTTCATTTAAATTGCTTTTGTCTTAGGAAGCACCTTTTCGCTCTCATAGGGATGGGGAGGGGTTACAGAATACTACAGAAATGTAAAAATATCTTGTCTATTGGCATTTCAAATTATTTATACCAAGCAATCTAAATAGCGCGATTGACAATGTGGATGCCTTTGTTATTTTCGACACGAGTCAACTTTTTTTTGTCCATTAATTATGGTGTTTTAACTTTCTAATAATACATGAACAATCATTTGAGAAAATAAAGAATTTTAAAAGAAATTGACTTCAAGTGCTTGTAGTAAGGATGCAACATCCAAGCGATGGAGAGTTCCATTGCAAAAGCAAATTTTGAGTGTTTTTGCATAATTTGTTTTCTCTCCATATTGCTGGTAGCCTCCGTGGGCCATATGACGCGAACCCTGTGTTCTGATTGGCTATCCGCGCGGGCAAAATGTACCCATCTCACCCGCTCGGGATCGCTTGCTTTGATCCTGTACAAGGAAAAAATTTGCATGGAGCGGACTTACAAACTTTGCAATATTTGAAAAATGTCGGCGATTAAGATGAAAAGAGCGGAAGAACACAGTCAAAACAAAGAAAACACAAGCGTCTGTCGTGAGTTTATTTGCTGCAAACACAGTTGGCTTTCTTATCTGGCTCTTGAAATAAACAAGGCACTCTTGATTCTGAAAAATGCGAAAAAATTTTGTTACATAATAAATCCCTTATTGACCAAGCTTGTTCGGTCAAGATTGCTGGATAGTAGTCTCCTTCTTCTTTTTCTTTTTTTGTGAGCCCCGACTTTGTCTCAGTCCATAAGAATGCAAAAAACAGAGCTTGGGCAATATCTGGCCATCTTGAGTTCACGATTGGTCAATAACGCATAATTATTATTGTGATCGATGCAGTAAAAGGGATGGAAAAGGGCATCAAATATAACCAAGATCAGTCGCGCATAATGATGTAGTTGCTATGGCTTCCTCCACATCCTTTGTCCCCGCACCAGACAGTTTATTTTTCCTTGATTTTTTTTTATATTTTAAACATCGGTTTCTGAGATTTTGGAGCAGCGTCATAACCGCTTTTGTCGTACGGAACGGGAGATTTCCTCTCACTTTCTGCAAGTCTTTCTTCTGACATGGCGGAAGACGTTGACGCCATCTTATTTTGAACTGTGCTGTGGTGGGACCGATGGAACCTCTCTTAGCATTTGCGTTTGAGTTGCCTCAGATCACACGTGTAGGTAGCGAACGTTAGCTCAAGAAAATGGCAACTTTACATTCCTTGCGTTGACGATTCCGTTTGCATTTGCATCGGCGTTAAGGTGGTCCACACGAGTATCTCCTTGCGTTTGCATTTTATCGGTGCTAGCGTTTGCATTTGCATCACACGCATGGACCAGACTTTATTCATATGGGCACAATTATTTCCCATTTGGACCTCCTCTCCGGTGAAAATTTTTTAAAATTTTTTTCTGCTAGTGACGCGAAAAAAATTTCCGACCGTTTTCAGCACAGTAAAAAGCTCATTGGTTACTACTGCATGATTAACCAATCAGATTCGAGGATTTAAGACTCATCCGCTGAGATGCTTAAAATTTTCTTTCTACTAGGCACGCGCATTGGTGCATTGTAATATCGACGTCAAATTGACTTTATTTGTGATGTAAGAAAGTCTGCATACTGACCAGACTTCTTTACTTCAAGAGTTGTTAGGTGCTGCGGGTCAAGATGGGAAACTGTTTCTCGGAGTGCACTCAAAATGAAGGTAGTTCTTCCTCGTCTGGGAGAGAAAAGAATGCTAAAGGAAAAAGAAAAGGAAAGCGAACAGGAAAGAAAAAGAGTTGCGGCAACAAGAATTCTTCGGAGAATTCTCCATCCTTAAGGCGAAAGAATAGCCTTTCAATTACCTCAGTACAATCCACCAGTGATGGCGATACTGGGGAACAAAGTGAGTCCACAACCGAGGGAAATCAAGAAAACATGAACTTAACAGTCACTGGCCACGCTATTCTAGTTCTAGCGAAGCAATCGAGTCCCGAGATTGAAACGACCGAGTCCAATACCAAGATAATTGTCGTGAAGACATTCACAACTGACGAGAATCCTTCCAACGATAGTATTGAGGTAGAAGTCAGGAAACCCATCACCAGTAGCGAATCAAACGTCTTGTTATCACATTCGCCTGTCGTTGAACAATCGACGGGCAATGAAGAACTTGAAGAACTAAGTAATGATGAAGAAGCAAGAGCCTCCCCTCCTGCGCCCTGTCCATCAGGGGACCAGGAAGGCTATGCTCAAAACAGCCATTTTCAGCTACTTGAGTTTCTTAAAATTCGTCTAGACATGGCGGCTAACAACATGGAAATGAATAGGTTACTAAGTAATGTGGACCGCGCATTGGACAGAGCAGCACGATCTCGTAAACTGGGATTTAAACGCATGCGTGCTGCTGCAGAGCCAAGGCGAGCTGCTCGTGAAATTCAGGAAGAAACTGTTATTGAAGAAGAGGAGACTGAGACCGAGGACAGTGACGAAAGTGACGAGAGTTACGAAGAATACAATGATATAGATGACACCCTGTCCTCGCCTTCCCCTCCCCCGCCCATCCCAAGAATTTGCTGGCAGTAAGTGTTCAGTAAAACAAGTTCTCCTATACTGATGCCTCATTGAACTGAAAATGTGTGGTAAAACGTACTACGGTCATGAAGAACGCGGACAGAAGTGATGGATGCTCGCTGAAAGATGACAGGCGCAGTTGTCATGGTAAGACTCCTGTTATTTAATTTCTGTAACTTCATTGCCAGAGTGGGGAATTGGAATTAAGGCAGACGTGGCTCTAAGCTATGAAATGCAAATTGATAGCGACCCTTTTTGTACTTATTTCAGTTGTAAGTGTCATAGGAAATAATGCCAACGGAACCAATAAAGGGTAAAAGTGAACTGTAATTTTACTCAAAAGAAAGTCTCAAAATTGCAATTACAAACGGCCCAAAAACGACTGAAAGATGATAGTGACAAGTTGACTTCTGCCCGTTGCCGTTTGAAGGAAAGTCCATAGTTCACCTCCCCCATGACCTACGTTGTTACGAGACTTAGTCCCAACGAGTCTTCCCTCGTATTAATCACAGTTTAGAATTAGTGTCATCCATCCATCCATTTAAATTTCAGCGGGCGAAAAGTTTGACTACTTCGCCTTCTTCGTCTATTTATTACACGACCTCTTTTATTAGTTTGGGGGCCGATGGGGGGTGATTTTATTATGGGCAATGGGCCTGCTCGGTTAGCTGAAATATACCCACGGTAATAGCGTAATCTCGTGCAAGCAGGCATGGACCTTGCAACGTACAACGGTACATGTGAGGAGTTTTTCAAAACTGATCCTAATGATTGGAAGATGTGTGTAAGTGAATGATTTATTGCTGAGGGCATCAAGTAATTCATTATCAGGCATTTTTCACAATAAAACTCTTATCTTTTGCTGACTGCGGCATCTTGAACGAACGAGTAATCGAGCTAAACGATAGATCTGTGGGAAGAGAACCTCGTAGATATTTTATTCTACCAATATGCACCAGAGGCTTTACTTATGAACAAAACACAATAAATTTTTTTCCGCCACATCGGAACGCCACCATGAACCAGCCTATATTTACTAATATTACTACTGATCCCTTTCCTTTACAGCTACAAACCCTTGCTCTTCTGGTCACAGTTGCGATTATGTTTCCCTGAAGGGAAGCAGAGGTGAAACAACTTGTGCTTGCTTTGCTAAGGAGGATCCGGTGTGTGAAAGAGAAAATCAACCATATTCTCTTGGTTTGTAGTAGTAGTGTCCGGTATCCCAATAATATTTCGCCGAAATATCCTCTATCCCGACAACCCTAATAGGGCCTCGTACTACGACCTCGAGCCAATCGTCGCCAGCACGGGCCTCATGCTCGGTTTGGTAGAGATAGTGTTTTTATTTGTCGTTTATATTTTGACTCACCCCGCGGGCTCATCAAACAACTGCGTGACTCGTAGCGATACTACACCCCAAAACATCTAATAGTATTTAATTACCGTACAAATTTAATACTCTTACAGTCTGGAAAAAAACGAGACAGCCACTAAGCCAGTAAGTGAGGAAACTTTTCAGTTTTCAATTCCAAGAGGTGTAGGTAAATCTGGTGTTCACCAGTGACCTCTGGGGCCACAAATCAAATGGAAAACATAATATTCACGGTGCCGAGTGAGTACGTCGCGATTACTTGCTTTAGAGCAGTGAGCGCACAGGGAAACATCTTCCCGGACTAGGGCAACAAACTCTTGTGGGTGAACTAGCTTGAAATTACTGGGCCAAGCGTTCTCTTACATTACCCGGAAAATTATTCTTTGGTGGAATCAGTTCTAGTCAAATTGTTTTAAATTGCTCAGTTGTAAAAAAAAACCTTCACGTTTATCTTGTTTTATTTTTCAGTTTGAACGAGATTATGACAAGGCCAGGTAAGTCTTTTCAAGAGAAATTGGCGTCTGTTGCAACAGATTTTTGCCGCGAGGACAGGACATGACGTGCAATCAAAGGAACACGATGGAACAGATGAACTACGCATAGAGGAAAAGGACAACATAGCTTTCTGTGAGCCTTGTAGCCGATACCTCCAGTGCTTCTCTTTCCGGTTGTTTCTTCGAAAATTTGGCAGCCTCACCGATTCCTGCCCATTACTTCATCCTTTCACGCGTAAGATCTGAATTTCAATTCCTTAAAGTGTCTGTTGTACATTTGTCATGATTTCAGGGTCAGTTCAAACAATATGTTTTCTTCATTTCTCTTCCTCGCCTTTCTCCTTGCAAAAGTTATGCCATTGTAATGATAATTTCCTCAATTTTCACTCTTTGAAGAGAAAGGGTTAGTGATAAATATTTCGTATAAAACCAACCTTTCGATGAAAACTATTAACATTATTGCGCCTGGTTGAAATTACCCGAAGAAAATGTAACGAACAACTTCGGCAGATCAATGATTTCCTTTTCTTGCTTCATTGTCTTCAGTTAATCAGTTTTTTAACACAAAACATTTCACTGTTCTTCTGCATTTAGACCTTTACGCCGCTGACCAGGTTCATCGTAGATCGTCAGTGAATAAAAATGCCTGGACCGACGCCTACACCTGAATTTGAAAATTCGCTTTATTAAAGTAGTTTATAAACATGATCAGTTATAACGGCGTTGCGGGGAAGAGTTATTAATAACAACGAAGTTCAGATGTTCCAAGACGGCTACCAAAGACGGCTTCCAAAGGAATCAAGAATCTTTTGACAAACTATGCCCTTAAGAGAACGACGAAGATCCTTTTGATCAGAGACAATGAGTTTAGACACGATGTGTCTAAAAATGAAGAGACTAAGTATCTAAGATATCATAGCAACCGAAATATCCTTCAGATGAAAATGTACTCGTTTCGCACGATGATAATAACCACAATATTCTTAGAAAATAAAAATAAACTTAAAATAAAAAATAAAGGCGTTGACTTTGAAATAAAAAATCAAACTACAAGACTTCCGAGGTTCGGAGTATTCATTACCTCTAAAAGGCTAAATGATAAACTCTCCGTTGCTTTGCCAAAATCCAGCGGTGACATCGGTACAGCTGTTGGGGAACGAGGTGACTACACAACCCGGCGAGGGAAGTCAAAGAAACGTGGACTGTACAGTCATTGGTCGTGCCATTCCAATTCTCGTCTGTTACGACTGGCTGCACCGACGAAAATCATCCTCAGTGAGGATAACTATCATACAGCCATCCTTTACAGACGACAATCCCTCATATGATAATATTGAGAGCGAAGTCATGTGGCCTATTACCGGTAGCGAATCAAACACCTGGTTGGCTCATTCGCCTGTCTTTGAACAACCAACGAACAATTAAGAACTTGAGGAGCTAGATAATGATAAAGGATCAAGAGCTTTCCCTCCCCCACCCCGTCCATTGGAGGACCTGAAAGCCCCTGCTTGAAACAGCTTCTTGAGTTTTTTCCAGATTAATCTTGACATGGCGGCTAGTATATGGATATGAACAGGTTACTAGGTAATGTAGACGGCGCATTGGACAGAGCATTACAGTCTCGTAAACTGGAATTCCAACTCATGTGTGCTGCAGCAGACCAAACCAAAAGGGAGTCGGCAACGAGGATTTGGCGAAACAAACTGGTTTAATGGCCAGAAAAATAGCCCAGTCAAGCGTTTTGAGGTAAAACGTACAAAGCTCGAGTCGAGGAAAAGACGAATAAAAGTGACGGATACTCGCTGTTTGTAAAATGTATTAACAGTTACAACTGTTCGTGTGAGGAGTTTTTCAAAACTGACGCCAGTGATTGTAAGAAGTGTGTAGGTGAGCGATTCTCTTCTGAGGGCGTCAAGTAATTCATTATTAGGCATTTTCCACCACACTATGATAATAACGCTGATCCCATTCCTTCATAGCTACAAACCTTTGTTCTTCTGTTCACGGCTGCGTTTATATTTGCTTCAAGGTAAACAGCGGTGGAGCAACTTGTGTTTCCTTTGCTAATTACGAGCTGGATGGAAAGAAATGTTTGGCAGCTAATATTAACTGAAAACAAAATTTTATTTTAAATACTAAACACAATTTATAAGCACCATCTGCAGCCAAATGATTCCTTTTTTTTACTTTTATTTCGGCAGATATCGTCGAATGTAATCCAACCGAAAAATTAATTGCAGTCGAATTTGTACAAATACTCCAAGAACTTATGAGCGTTTGATTGTAAAGGGTTTTTAATTAAAAGCATAGGTGTTCCATTCAAGTTTTATGAAGTAGAAAGTGAAGGGCCATCTCAAATAAAATGGACAAGACTTGATGGTATTTAAACGATGGTATTTAAATGATATAACATATTTATAGTAATGATAGAAAAAACTACTTACCGAATCACATTTGATTGCAGGCAACTAGAAGTTGCAGGAGCCACCATGATTCTGATGTACATTTTAAATCTTGATTTCGTTAAAGACGCGCAGAACATACTCGAAAATTTGGACTTGAGGGCAATCTTCGATGGCTTCCTTGATATCTTACAATGTGTTCAATGTGTAAATTTGCTTTATGGTGATAAGAGTTTGAGATCCCTTAAATTAACAATTAACGAGGAGTTAAGGAATGTGAGCAGTTGGCTGATGGTAAATAAGTTATCTCTTAACGTCAAAAAATCTAACTTGTATTCAGACCGTATCAAAAACCTGTTGGTTATGAAGTGAAAATAAATATCTTTGACTATAGCACCAATTCCTTTGTCTTTCTGGAAAGGAAAGAATATATGAAATACCTTCAGTTGTGTCCTTATCGATTCAAAGTTATCTTGGACTCAACGCATTGCATTTATTTCATCTAAAATTAGAAAGTCTTCAGGGGTTTTATCAAGCTTGGGACATTTTATCCCACAAACTGTATTGCTTAACATATATCAATCTCTTGTTCAACCTTACTTGTCTTATTGAGTTGCAGTCTGAGGCCAAAGTGCCCGGTCAAATTTGGAAAAGGTGTTGATTTTTACAAAAACGTGCTCTCCGCATAATATTTTTTAAACCCTTTGGATTTCATGCTGTACCTTTGTTCAACAAGTCAAACATTCTTCCTCTTCATCTTATCTAATTCAAAACAATCTCTTCTTTTATGCATGATTTCGTCAACTATCTAACGCCTCCTAACATTTCAGAATTATTTAGTTATTCTTCAGAAAAACACCACTATTATACAAGGTCCTCAGTGGCTGGCAATCTCAGAGAACAGAACATATGAAAAATTTTTCTTCAAGACTGGATGCAATAATCTAGAATACTGTTCCCATCTGTCTTCGTTCTCTACCAAAGTATAAATTTATAGCACTATTGCTTAGACAGCTACTAAACATTTTGATGTGAGAGGATACTGATGTTAAAGTCTGTACTTAAACTGATAAATTTAGAAAATTATAATCTTTTTAGTTTCATTTGTTGTTTTTGTTGTTTTTTCTTTTCGCGTGTAATTTTATTCAGTTGTAATATGTAATACCTGAATGGCTTATCTATAGCTTATCGTACTGTTTTTCATCGTTCGTGAATATGTATGTTGTCCTAGTCATTCTGTTCAGTCAAACTTGTTATTGAAGAATGTATTTAATGATTGTTTCCCTCCCGCCTTGATTAGCTTCCGTATTTTGCAGGTAGGGGTTGTTGGATATGTATTTCAATTGTTAAAATAAATAGATTTTGTTGTTTTTGTTGATTTTCTTGTAACTGAAACACAGCAAAAACTTGACACGCAAAAATAATCACAGCTCCTGAAAACAAACATAGAAGTCATAACGCCCGCTTTTTGCGAAGATGAAATATGTCTTTTTATTTATTTATTCATTTTGCATATACGGTGTTTATCAGAATTTTACTTACCAGGAAGACCTGTTTAATTTTTAGATAAAAAAGAAATCGCACCATCTCTTTTATGCGCCGCGTGCTCAGCGAAAAACGGCAAAATCATAACGCCCTGTATAACTATGATAGTTTAGGACAGAAAACTTGCTTTCAAGCAAGACTTGTTTTCTTTTTTCTTTTTTTTTTTTTTTTTTTTTTTCATATCATTTATGTACAACAAGAACAGTAAAGGTCCTAAGACTGATCCATGTGGGACACAAATGAGACAACACTCTTACTTGGATACGTTAGCGCCGACCTGAGTAGTTTGATGAGTCGTTTTTGAGTCGTTTGTGAGCTGAACTAGAACTAGAACTGGAAATAATTGCGTTGATCAGTATATCTTCAAGACAATTGCTAGAATCTGGCACTTTTGTGTAGAAGGAATGCTCATTATAGATGGACATGTTATAACAATAATAATAATAATAATAATAATAATAATAATAATAAAAGCTTTATTTAGACTAGAGATATCTATCAGCATTATACAACGTTGGTCTTCATGAGATGTCCGGTTAATAAAATTTATAATAGTATCATTCTACATTACATATTTCAAAGACGCTAAAAGCTGCTGAGATAAGACCACTAAAAGCCGTCAATTTAAGAACTACTAAAAACTAGTTTGAAATATTAAGAACCACCACAAACTATTAAAAACATTTTACAAAAATCCAACTAGTCACGCCATACATTTATGATTGGTAATGTCGCTGTTTCTCAGTTGTTTAAAAAGGTTAGATTTAAAAGAGCCTATTCTAGTTGTCTTCCCAAGTTCTGTAGGAAGTGATTTCCAGTCACTTGCACCAGCAATTTGGAAAGTCTTCCTTCCTGAAGAAATCTTAGATTATGGTACGTCGAGAGTGCCTTGTTGGTTCTAGCAAAGGAGCGCCTTGTTCAAAAACAGTTGTACACCAGAAACAAGGTCCTCAATCGCTTCGAGGCTCTGTGCGGAAAATCGTCACTTTCGACTGCATTTGACACTGATAGTAAATTAAAGAAATATTTTCGCGCGTTGACTTTTTACCAAGCGACTTGACTTGCATGTAAAGAGAGCTGGTTTAAATGAGTCACTACATTACTTTGGAACTTGCAAACCTCTAGCTCGATTCGCTCATTCCCAGATTACATCAATGAAGATCGATCTTATCAACGCATATTTACACTACCCACTCCCCCAATTCTGCGAAATTGTCATTCCAATTATTTTCTCGCTCACTTACATACTTTTCGGCCTCGCCTAGGCAAAAGTCCCTCAGCACTTCCGATAACAAACGGACTTTTGTTTGGTGCTTGTTTTGAGCCTTGATACATATTCCAATGTGAAGGTAATTGATCAAATTCTACATTCTAAGTCAGATTAGTGACATAATTCATAGCTAACCTCCCCTTCTCAAAAAGTCCTCCCCAGCGATTTGATCACGTTGTAGAATAGGATTTGTTTGATCTCAATTGAAACCTCAGAAGGACAAAATCTTTATTTTCCTTACAGTCGTTCATAATTTACCGTAGAAGGTCTCTTTATTTCTGTTGGGTCCTTTGGCGCTTGATTTTAATACAATGCATGGGCCTGCTCAGTTAACGAGCGTCGCAGATATTTTACTCTACTAGTATGCCATAGAGGCTAACTCATATCAAAAAAGACGAACTTGTAGTCGCCACCATATCTGAAGACCACATCAGTTTCGAGTTAGGAAGTGATGGAAAGAAATGTATACGCGAACGTCATATATTTTGTCAATTAATTTTTCGGAAGTTGGTGATTTAACGTTCGTATTGTACTCTTTAAGCGAGAGCTTTTAGTTGGCTCAGTGAACATCACTTACACTAACGCCATTTGAGGCACATATCAACTAAAAGCAAAATGTTAAACAACAAATTTACACATATAATTCAGAAGCACCTTCTGTAGCCTACTTTTATTTTCTGTAGATATCTATAAATGTGATCCGGCTGAAAGAGTCAATCGTTACAGTCAGTTTTGAACAAATACTCAA